CTTTTTCTGATGAAGGGTCTAGGCCCGAAACGTCAGCCTTTCTGCTCCTATGATGCTGCTTGGCCTGCTGTGTTCATCCAGCTCTGCACCTTGTTGTCTTCAATTAAATCATAGCCACTCTGCACCTTAACATCATCTACCCATCCTGATTGTGTATTCCCTAATCTCTCATAACAAAATCTGTCACTCAATTGACCCAGAACCTCAGTGGCATCATGTGGGGAGAGAGTTCCAGATTTCGACTGTGCTGTGTGTGAGGAAGCACTTCTTGACATCCCTCCTGAATGGCCTAGCTTCACTTCTAGACTTATAGCTCCTTTATTCTGGCATCCCAAGGCAGATGGCATAATATCAGTCTGTCTAAGTTATGAGTGATCTACCAACTTTACTTCTCCAATTCCTTTGCCAGATCGGGACCAAGGGAAGGTCGGAAAAAATCCGGACATACAATTTCCCTCAAGATAGGATTACAGATCATCGGATTGGCAAGTCATTTCATGACTTGAGGACTTTCATGATGGGCGAGAAGCTCCTGGATGAAATGGTTGAAGATCTGAAGGGCCTGGCGGACAGTGAATCCCTCCTCGAGTTACTGGAACAGAGTGCATCAAAGCAGCAAAATGAACAAAGGCACCAGTGATGTCTCAGGGCTCTTTTTAAACTCTCAATGAAAAGGTACCCCTTACAGTTTGATCCAGGTCCATGTAGAATTCCATTACATCGACCTTCAGCCGTTTCTTTGTCGTTTCAGGACTAGAATCTTCAGACCCTCTCCTCAACAGCTTCACATAGTCAGTTCTGGAACTTCCCATCTACCAGCACTGTTGGTGTATATTCCCTGTATGGACTGCAGTGGTTCATTACTCTCAGTTAATTGAGCACAAGGGATAGGCAATAAATATCAGCCTGTAATCAAACATAAATGAATCAATAAATATTTGCCAATGTTGACAATTCTAATAAACTGGTGTCTGGTCTCCAGTCGACCACCTCCATAATCCAAAGATGTGTAAGTTAGGTGGACTGGCCATGCTAAATTGCCCATAGTGTCCAGGGATGCACAGGCTAGGTGGATTAGCTAAAGGAAATGCAGGGTTACAGGGACAGGGTAAGGGAGTGGGTCTTGGCGGGAAGCTCTTCATGTGGGTCAGTGTGGACTTGATGATGGGCTGAATGGCCTGCTTCCACAGTGTAGGGATTCTACGATAAACCTGTGCTCATCTAAAAACCTGCAGCCAGAGTCCAGCTATCATCCCTGTGTCACTGACTTACATTATTTCCTGATCTGGCAATGCCTCATTTTTTAAAGATCTTATCCTTGTTTTCAAATCCCCTTTCTATCTCGGTAATCTCCTTTTGTGGACCTCTGCATTCTCTACACTCCTCCAATTCTGATCTCCATTTGTCCCAGTTTAAATTGCTGCACTATTGGTGGCCGTACCTTCGATCACCCAGGCCCAGAAGTCCTGGATTACCCTCCTGCCCCCCCTAAATCTCCTAGCTTTGCTTTTCTTCTTTTAAGGTGCTCCTTAAATCTTCCCCTTTAATCCAACTTCGTATTCCTGTGTGGCTCCCGTCAATCTTTCTATAATAACACTCGTAAGTTGCTTTAGGATGTAGTCCTGTATTAAAGGCACTTATAAATCCAAGTTATTTTTGAGGATCTAAACAAACTAGGAGTGAATTAGCGCACCCTCTGGCTCCATTAGGATAATGCAGCAATTCAAACCAGGAAGTACTAGGTTCCATGACTGACAGATGCTAAGGTAGCAAAAAGAAATTGCTGGAGAAACTCGGCAAGTCTGGCAGCATCTGTGGAGAATAATCACAGTTACCATTTTGGATCCAGTGACCCTTCATCAGAACTGACTGTAGCTGGGAAAAAGCTAGTAGATATACTGAAGATGGGGCTGGGAGGAGTCATAGTATCCTACACCACAGAAACAGACCCATCAGTCCATGCTGACTAAGTTTCCCAAACTAAAGTAACCCTACTTGCCTGCATTTGGCCCATATCCCTCCAAATCTTTCCTATTCATGTACCTGTCTAAATGTCTTTTAAATATTGTAACTGTATCTTCATCTATCACTTCCTTTGACAGTTCATTCCATGTATGAACCATCCTCTGCGTGGAAAAAAGTTGCCCCACAGGTCCTTTTTAAATCTTTCTTCTTTCATCTAAAAATATGCCCCCTAGTTTTGAACTCCTCCACCCTAGGGAAAAGACCCATGCTATTTGCCTTACCTATGCCCCTCATGATTTTATAAATCCCTCTAAGGACACCCCTCAACGTCCACAGAGGGAGGTGTCTCTTCTGTGCTACATTCTGACCTTTGTGGACGCCAGCCTCAATTGGAGTTACTGGAGTTGGAGTGCAACTTCTCGGAAAGTAAGAAGAATCGAAAAAAAGGACGGTCTTATATTTCTGCAGTACCTTGCACCATATCAGGATGCCTGAAACAGTCAGTGAAGTGCCTTTGAAGTGTTGTCACTCCTGTAATGTAGGACACATGACAGCTAATGTACACACCATGAGATCCCACAAGACATCGGTATAAACAAATAGACAATCTGTTTGGTATTTCGGATCAAGACACTAGAGAGGACTCTCCAGTTCTTCCATCTAGGATATTTTACGCCCGCCTGAGATTACAGATATTCTCAAGATGACAGCACCAGCAGCACTTCTATGTTATTCATTCATGGAGGTTCGCACAGTTAATCCTGCTTTAACTGAGAGCTATTGCCCTACTGCTATGGTGATCCGAGTGCAGAAACATGACTGAGTGCCCTAGGTCAGGGACATCACAATGTGCCTGAGATGCTGCTGTGCCATTTTACAGATTGCGGATGACTCCTTGATGTGAGGGATCGCCCCCTCCTCCTCCTCCCCCCCCCCCCCCCCCCCCCCCCCCGCCCCAAGTGTGGCTGTGATCTACTCAACACTTGGTCAAATAATGCCATCATCAGCTGTCTGTCCATTCAAGGATATGGCTACTTCATCTCGTGTTCCTGCCACGGGTCTTTGTGAGTGAACATGACGATTCTTGACTCATGGATCTTTGGGCACAAGGGGCAGGAATTCCTGTGTCATCAAATAGCATAATGGTAATTACTACAAGTTCAGATGAAAGAATAATGTTGTTGTATTGCCGTAGTCTTACCAAACCATAGGACTGCTTTTGGGACGGGTGACTGGTGGTGATTTAACCTGAGGGCCACCATATCTCGGGCGACTGGAGAGGTTTGGAAGGAGAGTCCTTCATGGTAACCTCAGCCAGTGATGGGAATTGAACCCACACTTGTTGGTATTTCACTGCTTCGCAAATCAACTATGTGACCAACTGAGCTAAAACTGACCCAGATGAAAGAATGAGCATGTGGGAGAGGGATCAGGAGAGATCGGGAAACAAACAGTAACATACCTGCATTTTACAGTGTACTTGTATGAAAATGTTTTAGTAGCAGTACAGTTGTAATGGTGGATATTTCAGCTATCTCAAATCCCATTGAAGCAGAGTGGAATCAAGCCATTGTCAACTCCAAGGGACTGCTAAAGGTTTTTACTGGGCCTACATAAACTTGAATGCAGATAATGACCTTAATCTACTTGATAAGAGGTACAAAGGTATGTGAATTAAAAGTCAGAGGTAGAATGTGGGTGAATTTGCGCTTACTTTCTCATCAAGTAAATTGGCAGCTACGTTGGGATGAGAATCACAGGGCAGGAATAGACCACACACCCCACTGTGCAGACTGTCCATTTTGCATTCTGTTCAAATCAATGAGATATCAGGCATTATCTAAGAAGGGAAAAGACTGGTGGAGCTGATCAATCAATAGGATTAGAAAATAACTCCCCAACCTTCCCACCACACCCTCAGAAACCAGCACAGCTTGATGTGAAGCTTTCTTCCATCATGAAGGACAGATTTAGACTTATCCAGCTCGTTTCATCACCTCAGGGCATCCCAAAGGATTTCACAGCCAATGAAATACTTCTACATGTTAACACTGTTGTGATATAGGGAAACTGGGTGCCAAATTGTGCATAGTAAACTCACTTAAAAGAATGAGATATTTGGCTTATTTGAGGCGGTGAGGAGGATGGTGTTGGCAGACAGAGTAGGTATGCTCGTTTGCTTTAAGTATCAAACAGTGTGCAGCCCAAGACAGAATAGCTCAAAACTTATTTCTTTGTTACTCAGTCAATGTCAGGGAGGGGGGGAAGATCAGACAGTGATGCCTTTTAGATCAGTAAGAATGCTCATGTTAAGTAAGTCATGGAAGAAAGTCTACACACTGTTCCATTCATTACAAGAGCAACTTTGCATTGATTAGAATGTCAAAGCAAAATTCAGAACAGAATGACATGGAGCCAAGAATGCGGTAAGAGAATGGATTTGACAAAAGGGCTTAAAAGAGGAGAGGGTGGAAGAATTTGGAAATGGATTTTCAGAATATGGGGCTGAGCCAGTTGAAGGCATGCCCAGCATTTTGGGACTCACATGAGGCCAAAGATTTGAATCTGAGAAAGAGATTTTAGAGGGAACAAGCAAAATACAGTCTAACATCAGAGCAGATTACTGACAAAAGGCAGAAGTGAGAGGATTTTAAATGATATTGAAGAATGCAGGCATAAGCATGGATCAGCAGTGATACCATGATGAGTGAGTAGGTGTAGATGTATTGAAATTCCCAGTAAGCTGGAAACTTAGACAGAAAAATGTAGAGCTAATAGGAGTTGTCTGTTGCTGGGGTAGAGTACTACCTATTGGTATATGTTCAATGGGATGTTCCTCAATCCTGGAAATACTTTGAAGAAAGAAAGTAGCTTGAGTTAAGGAGATTTGGGCAATTCCAGATCTTGGGGGCAATTGAAAGCATGGCTGACAATTAGTAGAGCAATTCAAAAGCTAAAGAGGTTACAACTAAAGGAACACAGATTTCAGACAATTATGGGCTGAAGGACATTAGAGACAGAGAAAGGTGAGGCCATGGACGGACTGAAAACAAAGTTGAGAATTTTGATTCTGATGTATGTTTTAATTTGAAATGAGTGTAGATTAGTGAGGGATGTTAGTGAACAGAATCCAACAGCAGATGCATGGAACGACCATACAATGCTCCAAATAAGTCACCATCCCGACTTGGAAATGTTATGCTGTTCCTTTGCTGCTGCTGGGTTAAAATCCTGAAACACACCCTAATGGTAGTATTATTGATTATGGTAACAAACGTGTGGATGTGGATTTCAGCAGATGAGTCAAGTCAGGGGTGTAGTTGGATCATGTTGTGGAGGTGGAAATAGACTGTTTTAGTGATGGCATGGATATGTCATCAGAAACTCACCAAATGGGCAAATGTGACACCAAGGCTGTGAACAGACTGATTACGTTTCAGGAAAAAAAATCAAATAAAACAAATCAAGTCATATTCTTGCACTCATATTTCTGAAGTTGAATGTTTTATTTTCATTTCTGATAATAGGTCTGATGGATACTCGTGTCATTTCAACGAATAAGTGTAGCAAAACAAATATCCCAGTTTACAGTCTTGGTAGGCATCCCCTCATGTGCAATGTTTGATCACGTCTCAATTTGCTTAACTTATTGACAATGTTAATGGGATGGAGACTTTCGGTACTCACCTGTCCTGAGGGCAAGCTGTCCTCAAATGCTGAAATCACCAGACTTCCCCATTTAAATCTGACCATAGCTGCTCCGCCCGCCCATGTTTTGGGATTCAGCTTGCAAGCTCTGCGGAAGGGTCACTTGACCCAAAACGTTAATTCAGATTTCGGTCCACCGATGCTACCAGACCTGCTGAGCTTTTCCAGCAATTTCTGTTTTTGTTGCAAGATTTGAGATTGGCTTTCAGATTGCCTGGGTCTTTGCATTTAAGTTTGGGATGCCCTGTGCTCACTTCGCTGGAGAGGACTGCCTTTGGAATGTAAGA